TCCCAGATTTGTTTGAAATGACGCCACAATATCAACACTTACCATCACATAGTTACATCAGAGGAATGCCCATTTAAAAACTAATCTACATCTGTAGGTGTCAACTGGACATCGGCATGCCATAAAAAGTTCATGTTTGAACCTTGGTCCAGTGTGTGAAAGCTCCCTGAGTGTAGCGAAATCATCAGTGTGCTGTTCATCGAGCAGTTGTGATAAACAGCTGACTGTTGTGCTGTTTCTCTATACACAGCTGTGATATTTGTATAAATTTTACTTGTGCCAGCTTTTTCTTATCTGCTGCTGCTGGTGAAATAAGGTTCATGTTTCTCATCCCTCTGGGATGATTTGTCTGATTCCCACTGCAGAGGAAACTCCTGCAGTCTGCATGGAAATAAAAACCTTTCAGATCTTTTGTTTCCACGCCGCGGGTCAGGAGATAAGACGTGGATAAAAACATATCTCTCCTGCACAGACAGTGCGTATTATTGTACGTCCTCCAGTACGTCTGAAATGCATAATATTTCAACAAGTATGTGTTCATTCTGCTTCACAATTAATGGAGCTTCAACGAGACACCATCACAGTTACAAATTGAACCATATCAGCAAGAAGCTAATACAGTATCAACTAAAAACGTGTTACTGGGTCTGTTTTTGTTTTCTGGAGAAGAACTCGAAAACTATTTGGATTTTTTCACAAAGCCTCACAATTATTCTAATCAGGTAACGGAGTGGAGCTTTTGGTATCTTGTGTTTGCGAGGGGAATATGTCATCTCCACATGATTTTATTTTTCAACTTAAAGGCAGCACAATAAATTCGTAGCATGTTTACAACTTTACCGAAAAAGTCTGTCTTTTTTAAGCTGCTTGATGTTTCACTTTCTTCACCAGCTGGTCTCTCACTGTGTCTGTGGACAGTTTGTTTATCAGAGCTTGTTTTGTTGAAAACAGCCTTCTGCTGCTGGAAACATTAAGGGATCTATTTTAACGATCTAAGCTCCTGATCTAAAGCACATGGAGAAAGTGTTTTCAGGACGTGACCAAATCCACTTTTATTAATTTAATGGTGGGGGGAAAAAAGGTTGTTGCACCACATCAGTGGTTTAGAGGGGTTATACTTCATCTCTGAATTAGTCTTAAGTGTTTCAGGTGCAACATGCAGCAAACCAATCAGAGTGCTGTAGAGGTGGGTGTGATTCAGGCATTTAGCTGTAGGAGAGAGAGGTGTGCAGAGCTGGCTCAGCAGGAACAGTGTGCTTTCTTTTAAAAGCAGTAGTTGCTGGACTGAGGGGGAGAGATGCTGCTCACAGGTCGGAGGTCCACGGAGATCCTGCTGTTATGGTTTCAGCAGAGCTCTGTGTAAAGCAGCCAGGCTACAGAGATCACAGGAGCATGACTGTATGTAGTTACTGTGTGCAGAAATTTAAAAAAAACAAAAACTGAATTATCTGTGTCGCATGATTAGTGCTGGGGGAACCTGAGTAACCCTGTGTTACAGGTGCAATCTCCCATTCCCTTTAAAGGCCAGCTGAACTCCCACCTTAATAGATTGTTATTATACTGGCGGATTTGTCAGAGTTGAAGTGTAGTTTTAAATGTCTTCTAATAAATGGGGTTCTGTGAGCACTGCAGAGCTACGCTCCCCTGACACACTCCCTCCGCTCAGCTCTCGCAAGCTGCTCTCGACCTGATAAAAACCCCTGAAATCACCTGCTGAGCTGTTTTTTTTTTTTTCTTTTTCTTTTTCTCTGAAAACTTGAAACTGGTGGAGCGTACATCTTTGGCAGCTGAAGGTTTATGTTGTAGAAATGAACCTTCAGGTTTTAGCCAACACTGAGCTGCATACTGTTCACTTCTGTCCATAATTACTGAGTGTACTTTGGAAAATTGGAGACTATTAAACAAGAGTTTATCATATAAGTATAACGTTTTTTTTTTCTCAGAGGAGAGATGCAAGGAGTGTCGTGCTTTCTGTTTTAATTAGTCTTTTTCATTTGGTTACCTGTGAATGTGCAGACCCATGACACAAATCTGAATGATACATGAAACAGACATAAATGTAATATTTCCATCATGTTCTTTACTTTCAGCTTTTTATCTTGATCCTAAATCATCAGTGTGTTGTCCTTATTAAGCTTGGGCTGATGGATAAGTCCACCCCCCCGATGGTATCGTCCATCACACTGTTTCACTGCATATGTTGTCATATGCTAATTGAATTGACATCGCCCAACCTAATGTAAAATTGTAGCACATGGTTGGAAACACATTATTCTGTCAAGTTGTGCCACATTTAGATGGCTACTTTGCTAGTTTCTTGATTAAAAAAAAAAAAAAAAAAGCCTCTCAGAAATGCAAATGTATTGTGTCACTCTCATTGAAAAGAATTACTAATACTTTTTGAATATTGCATATTACCTTATGGCATTTGTGAAATAGCACATCACGAGCAGTGAGCACAAAGGCAGCTTCTAAAAGGAATGAGAGTACATACACATGATTATAGTGGAGGGTTAGCACAAAGGTGTGCAATAGGGACCCTGCTAAGAGCTTAGTTGTCAGCTCTTTTGAAGAATTAACATTGTTCTACTGATTTATGGTGCCAGATTTAGTCTACAAATCAATTTCACGCGGCACGTTTAGAATTGATAGTTAAATCTAATTGCTAAATTGTTTTTTTTTCCCCATTTGGATTTTTTCCCAGTCTTGATCACTGAGTTTTTAATGTAAGGCTGCTAAACATAAGGCAAGCAGCCTTAAAGAAAACATTATTGTTTGACATGTTCTCATGTCGTGGTGCTTTTCTGTGATTAAAAAAAAAACTGTATAAAGGAGCAATTCAATGGAGAAGCTACAAGCAGAAGCTTATATTTTAGCTTAATATATGAATAAAACAATCCACTATTAGAAGCTTTTTTGATTAATGGTCACTTAATTCAGTAATAATTATCAGGGGTATTTTGTAGCAAAACAAAACACAAATATAAGTGACTAACTGTAATGTGCTGGCAGGGATGCTGTGTTTGGCTCAGTCATCCCTCAGGGGGTCACACTGTCATCTGATGGGACTAGGTATCACTGATATTTCAGTCTGTGAGACCACTGAGTGTCGTTCCATCCCAGCAGCCATGTTTTGTCTGCAGTCCTAACTGCTGCACTGTGCTCATGTTGCAGCAGCGAGCTGCTGTTTGGAGATCTATCCCCGGTTCCTCTCGGCCTCTCTGTTCCTCATGACTAATGTTGGGATAAACTTGAATTGCCTTCTGAGTTAATGAGCGTCCCGCAGCAGCAGCAGAGCGATGGGTTTTGGTGATGCTCAGAGGAACAGGGAGGCCTCCAACTTCTCGAGAGCCAGCGAACATTTGGCAGGGATCAGCTGCTCTCCCACAACGGGGATAGGCAGACAGTTTACAGCCGACTGGTGGTTTCTGATAAAGTTACTGCTCTGTGGGGGTTTGGGGGTGGTTTTGTTGTCGTGTATTTGTAGGGTTTGAGAGCTTAATTTGCTGAAGCTAACAACAAAGCAGCTGTAGCAAGCTACAGGTAAGCTGGCTGCATGTATGGACAAAGTTCTGTCAGGATGTTTTTCATAGGTGGGCCTCTGTCATGGCATCATCAAGAGGTTGCATGGCACGAAAGTTGTTATTGGCAAAGTTGGATAAAACGGTAAATCTGCATTCAAGAAGTCTCTTGGAGGATTTAACTGTGCTACATGTTATTGTGTCAGTATGACAGTGAATGGCAGTGGCTAATGGAAGTTTACTAAAGGTGCTTTTTTTACCTACCATTTTTGGTCCAGAGACCTGACTTTCAGTTTAGTCTGGACCAAAATAACAGGTGTGTGAAGGGTGCCTCTTTAGGCTCTGGACAGATTTAGACTAAAAGATTTAGTGTGACTAAAAGCGTTGACAAATGGAACAATGGTTTGTTTGATTTCACTGTGAAATTTTGGGGGGGATAGTTTGGACTGCTTGTAGTCTTCATCCTCACGATATAATGTTTGAGCAATGAGAACATTAATTTTGCAGGTAGTAATACCATAATGATATTACAGTGGCAGCAGAATTAACAACATGTGAGTGATAACAAAACATCAGAGCAGCCGAGTCACTTGCGGACCTGTGGAGTAATGCACCTCAGTGCAGTGGCGCTCATTTGATTTCAATTGCGATATATATATATATATATATAGATTTCGACTGATATGAAAGAATTGAATTTTGGTTAAATCATTTTATCCTAAATGCATTGTGAAAAAGTTGAACATCAATTGTTTTGGCTTGCGTTTTGTCTGTTTTGTCTGCTTTTCTTAAGTTGTGGTGCGTGTAACATGCAGTCAAGAATGGACAAAATTAGGTTTGGCTAACAAAGCAAACACAAACACGTTATGAATCTGATACGTCATGATTGATATCGCATGTTGATCCTCAGCAGTTTTTGTTGAACCCTTGTGTGCAGTTGCTAAAATGAATGTGCTGTTTTTGTCTGTTTTTAATGTGTGCAACATGAATCAGTTTGACCAGAAAAAACACATTTTGATGTTGACAGTGTTGAAATCCATCTGAGCTGCAGCTCTAGTCTGGGGCGATGGCCCGCAGGTTGTAGGTGCAGCTCTGTGAGGTTTGTGAAGTTTTCAGCCACAGTGAGTTGATGGCGTGGCTTGTAGGTCAGACCAAGAAATGATATGGTACCATCACACAGGCCAGCTCTGAACTCATGAATGAATCACTCAACCTGCTGTAATTCAGGCCTCTGGTTTCTCCCCTCTGGTCTAAATCAGAGAGGTTTGTTTGATTTTTTATTTTTTTTTTCTGTCTGGGTTTTCTGCCTGACTGAGCGGCTGAATCTACGGTAGAGTGAACAGCTCGTCTGCCTCGCAGGCTGTTCCTGCTCCGCCATCCTCGGTCAATGAGGTACCACAGAGGGACTCGGGCGGTCAAATCTGCCCGAAATCAGACTAACTAGTTCTGACAGGAAGCAACTTTCTACCTGCTGGGAACATGGCCAACACTTTTCTACGCTTCTCTCTGAAACGCCTCAAAGACTTTAACCCTCCTGCTGTGCTCCTACTGAGTACCCTGTCTAGTCAGTCCACAAAACAGGCCTTTTTCATGAGCCACGTGGACTGGAAAGGCAAAAACAAAATGAGACAGTCTGGTCTACAGAGGCCGTGCTCAGCATATCCAGGTTGTCCTGCCCTTATTGCAGTTTTTACATGTGTAATGGTAGCTGTTTGGTTGAGTTGAAGTGTAATACTCAAGCATTTCAAGTCTCATCTACCGGCGCTATCACCTCTTTGAAAAATGGTATGTCATCAAAGGGCTATAAATCCTGGGATAGGTTGGGCTGGAAAGGATCCACCCGTCGGAGCCTTCATTTATCAGGGAAGGAAGGGCCCATTTGTCAGCTTTATTTGAGGCACCCTAGTTGCACCGCTGTGACTTAATCAGTGTTCAAATGCAGACTCCGGAGGATGCAGCCTCTGAACTGAGACACAGCTTATGTGTCTGCCTCTTTTGTTGGTACAGAATTGAATTGCATGTTTTGATTCACGTCTCCAGGTCACCTTGACGTCATGCCTCTCTATGTGCTGTCGGAGGGGGCAGGTCCACACGCCCAGGTACCAACGGACCAAACCAGGATTCCCATCCCACTCATCACCACCAACACAGACTACTCCAACAAATCAGTCAAGGTTTGTTCACAGCAGAACTATGATCAGAGACTTTTCATTATTAGGGCTCTGCACCAGGGACAGGAGCTTGGGGTGTCATGTTTTTGGGTTGTCTGTTCATCCTATTGAGCAGAGGTAGGAAGTAAAAGAAGTACAAATACTTTCTGTACTTAATTAGATCTTTCAGGTGTCTGTACTGTATTTTTCAGACAGTACTTTTTCTCTCTACATTTCAACACAACATCAAGACAGATTTACACCTAAATGGATAATAACACAGAAAAGACCATTCCTTGTTTTATATCTATCAAAGACAAATTAAGACAGAACAGACAAGAGGGGGAGACTCAACTGTGGAGAAGAGGCACATCTGGAGAAACAACATGGAGGAAATTGAACAATCAGACATCACTGATATCAGTGTAGAGATGAAACAGTGTGAAAACATTGTTTAATTTCTAGTGAACAAAATTAACACGGTTATCAATATCAATATCGCTGTATTGTTATAATGTGCTT